GGGAGCTTCACTTTGGGGTTTGTTTTATGGGCAGTAACGAGGGAGCTTCAGTTTGGGGTTTATTTTATGGGCAGTGACCACAAGCCTCAAGGTGCTCAGCAGACAACACACATTTTGGAGCCAGAGGGAAAGGGAAACCAGGAGAACAGGAGGGTGTCCATGAGGAAACCTCAGTGGTTCCATCACTGTCTCTTCCTGGGCTGCATCCCGGGGTAAAACCCATTAAAATGCTGTTTGCAAAGAGCAAAGCAGAGCAAAGCAGAGCAAAGCTGTTTGTGGGGAGAGCAGCTGGATCCACAGCTGGGTGTGAAAATCCATGGATCTGCTACTGGGCAGGAGAGGGACTTCCACAGGGAGCCAGGGAAGAGGGATCCTTGGTGTTAAACCCGATACTCTGCTAAGCACAGAGAGTTCCCAAGAAGCTGAGGAATGTGAGTGTGCCACCAACACCTCCACCCATGACGTGTCAGCCACAAAAATATCCATATTTTCTTTCACAGGAGCACAGGAGAGACCCAAAGGGGTTCACTCTGCAGGGCAGGGAAGGGAGAGATGGGACTGTGAGGGGCTGGGTTGGATCCTCCACCTGGGCAGGGAAGGAGCTGGGTGGTCCTTCCACCTTCTCTCTGTGCTTTGCCTGGCACAGGACAAAGTGTGCTGACTGCCAGGAGTAAAAATCAGTAGGTTTTTAGTAGGTTTTGATTAGATAATGGGAAGAAATCCTTCTCTGTGAAGGTGGGGAGGCACTAGGAGAGATTTCCCAGAGGTGTGGCTGCCTCTGGATCCCTGGGAGTGTCCAAAGGCCAGGTTGGATAGGGTTGGAACAACCTGGGCTGGTGGAAGGTGTCCCTGCCCATGGCAGAGGGTGAAAATAGATGATTAAGGTCCCTCCCAACCCAAACCATTCCATGATTTTATGATGACTTCTCAAACATAGATGAAAAGCAGCAGCTTTGCAACGGATTTCACTAAACCAAAGACCTTGTAAACCTCAGGAATAAAAGAATGTAACTAGGCTTGCCTTAGGTAAATGACACAACCTTTTCTGCTTGCAAGAAAGAGCACCCTGCTCTTAAAAATCAGTGCCAAAACAAGAACTTATTTTGATTCACAGAAACCATTTCTTTCCAAAACCCCAGCGCTGAACCCTGACTGAGATCATTTCACTCTGGGTGGAAGAACAGAGGGAAAACTCCCCCAGGAACAGCACCTGCTAAAAATGAACACTGTCCACACACTCTTTTTTGGGTGCATCTGCCCATGAACCTGCATTTTGATGGTAACAGCTGGTGCTGAGTGACCTGACCCACTGCTCCCCGAGTTTCAGCTCATCCCAGGGACACATCCCTGTTTTTAGCAGGGACAGGCTCAGCTCTAGGGATGGCAGGGGAGATTCCAAGCTGGATGACTGGGTTTCCCTGGCACCACTGAGCAAATCAGGCTGCTGAGTCACCACTTTGCACGTTTTCATTCAAACAAAACCCGCTGGAAAACCACAGAAATCCACCCAGAGCAGCCAATCCCAAGGATGCCTCAGCACTAAGAGGTTGGTTTTGGGGGATGAAGCTCTTTGCAAAGCTCCCTGGGAAAGGTCAAGGCAAGGTGTTGATGGTGTTTCTGTCTCACCCAAGCACACTAATTGACAAATATCCATTGGGAAATACACCTAGGCATGGAAAAAGCCCTGGAATGATGCTTCTTTGCAAGGAGAACAATGGATTTTAAGGTGTTACAGTTCTGGCACAGGTAAGGACAACAAAACAGCTGCACTGAGCTGGGAAGAGAGACAGTGTGGACCCCTTCAAATCTGCCACATCCAAATTCAGCTGGAATGACTAAGGGAACACATTTCTACCTGTTCCCTGGAGCTGCTCTCTGCACTGGGATCCTCTGTGTGTCAACCAGCAACCACAGGGACAGAGCAGGGGGAGCACAGGAGGGATGTCCCACCTGCTGGAGCACCTTTTCCCCAGGAAAAGCACAAACCATAAATCCTTTTCCCACTGTCTTAAGAGCTGATCTGTGGTCACAACCATGCAAAGCATTTTGGCGTCCATTATTTTCCAGCTTTACGAGATATCCTTCAAATCCTTCTCCTGGAAGGCTGTGACACCACACTCTGGGGTAGGAATGGCTTTTCAAAACACACCCACGTGTCAGGAAGCCCCTCTTTGCACTCATTAAAGGCTGAAAGGTGTCCAAGAAGGGCCCAGAAGGGATGGGAGGGGGTCGGTGGTCGGCAGGCTCAGGGATGGCGAAGGTGGAGGCAGGCGAGCAGGGGGAGGATTTCGGGTACTTACCCTGGATCTGGCTCTGAGGCTGAGGGTTAAAAGCAGTGGAGTGGTTCAGGGAGGCCCGTGGGTTGGCTGTGGGGGCTGGGTGGTGGGGGCTGACCCTCATGGCCGTGCGGCGCAGCTGCTCCAGCTCGCTCAGGCGCTCGGAGAAGGACAAACTGCCCGGCTTTGTCTGCTCATCCATCTTCTGACGGTGTCCTGTTGTGGGGAGGGAGGGGGAAAAACATCAGAAAATCTCACTGGTACACCAGGTCTGTTGGTTTGGTTTATTCTTTTGTTTTTTTCCCCTTGTTTTTTTTAACCCCTGATCCGCTGCTGAAGTCTCTGCCCTGGGACTGTGTGACATTTAGAGCTGCAACCACTTCTCTGCAGGAACAGGAGGCACGAGGCATGAATTGCATCGTGGCCTGGTCCTGAAGGACCAGATCCACTGAAAATTTCAGTGCCTTCCTGCACCTCCCACGAGGAGAGAAGGGGTTTCTAAAAGGAGGAAATGTCGAGTGACCCCCGTGCTAAACCTGCACTGGAACAACTCCTCAATAATAAACCCCCAGACTGTCACAAGGTACCATAATTAGACAAGTTCTGTGGGGCTATAAAATAACACACCCAAGCAAGTCCTATTTTTGGAGTCTTTTGCAGTGGCTTTATGGGCAGGAATAGGAAATAAAACCCAGAAGAAGTGGAAGAGTCGAAACTGGAATCATGAATCCACATCAGGAGCTTCAGGAATGTGAAGTCTCACCAGACATCCAGCTCCAAGAGAGTAAATGCTGCTTTTACAGCATCAGCCAGTGCAGAGGGGTCTTGGAATTAGAGGGTCCAGAGCTCCCTGGAGCAGCCTTTGGAGCTCAGTCCCCAGGAAGCTCTGGGGCTGGGAGGGGACAGGGAAGGTGCTGGAGAACCCAAGCTGCAGGAGAATGTTGGGAACATCCAAATTCAGCTGGAGTGACTAAGGGAACACATTTCTGCCTGTTCCCTGTTGCTGCTCTCTGCACTGGGATCCTCTGTGTGTCAACCAGCAACCACAGGGACAGCACAGGGGGAGCACAGGAGGGATGTCCCACCTGCTGGAGCACTTTCTCCCCAGGAAAAGCACAGATCATAAATCCTTTTCCCACTGTCTTAAGAGCTGATCAGTGGTCACAACCGTGCAAAGCATTTTGGTGTCCATTACTCTCCAGCTTTATGAGATATCCTTCAAATCCTTCTCCTGGAAGGCTGTGACACCACACTCTGGGGTAGGAATGGAAACCTCCCCCAGCAGGTTTGTGTTTGGTGGGATGTTGGAAATAGGGAAAAAAAAGCCATTCCCAAAAAGGGCTTTTCCTTCTGAAAGGTCACAGAAAACAGCCCTTCAGCAGAAAGCCCCAAATCACACAGGTTCTGCTTTCTGAAGTGCTCTCTCCAAATGCAGGGCAGGGTAAAAGAATAATCATGGAACCATGGAATGGTTTGGGTGGGAAGGGAACTTAAATATGATTCAGTTCCAAACCTCCTGCCATGGGCAGGGACACCTTCCACCAGCCCAGGTTG